ACTCTGGTCTTACCATCACTACGCTTAATTAAGTAATTAAATCCTATAACTTTGTGTTCTTGGATTGCTGTTGTTTTTGAGCCTTGATTCTTTTCAATAATAGTAGAGAGAGTCTCCGCATCTGCTGTGCAAGTAAAAGGTGCATCTAACATTCGTTCATATCTTCTGAATTTATATATATTTTTACCTTTCTCTGGTATTACAGTTCTTTGCACTGGAGTATTGATCCCTTCACAGTCTTCCATATGTTGAGCATCAATCTTGGGATCATGAGTTCGATGACTTACACAATAATCACAAACATATAACTTACCATTGTGCTTAGTTGTATATCCAGCCAACTTTCCTAGTCCATCTCTTCCTTGAATCAAACAATAATGTTGAGCTGGTTCTCCTGTCTTTGGATCTTCTCCTGTTATCAATAAAAGTCGAATCAAGAAACGTCCCTCACATAATGCTATATCTGTATGATCACATCTCTTTTTGAAACATGTTCTAGGTGCAATTCTTTTTGGGATAAGTTCCTTTTCACTCCATCCATAAATTGATACAGATATAGCTGAATTTTGTTTCTCGAACTTTTCCATTGTATCGTTGTCTGCTTTTACTGGAAATAAAATTCCATTGAAATCTAATGCACCTAAATAGGGAGTATACCAAGAAACTCGTTCTCGGTGATATTGTTGTGGATAAAACTCTGCAAGAATACAATATTCAAAGCATCGATCATCCTCATTTTTGATATTAATAATTCCATTATTTCGTTTTGGTATTCCTTTGGGTAATGGAAGATGAGAACTGGCTGTTAATGGAACATAGATTGGCATCTCAATATTGACTTCTCCTGATTCTACATAATACCAACCTGAGCCTTCATGGACATATACTTCTATTCGATTTTCAATATCCCAAATAAGTTCATCTACAATTCTTGGGATGTCTTCCTTAGCAGTTACTGCTACTGCTTTATTTTTGAACGGAACTTCTTTATAATCTTTTTCATTATCATTGTCTTCTGAAAATGTTTCATCTTCAAACAATCCTTGCTGATAATTTGTTGATCGACTCATTTTTCCTATAAGACATAAACGAGTTTTGAATCCATGAGTAAGGTCAAATCGATCATTGAAGATATTTATTATTTGTTCCCTAAGTGCATCGAGAGTATTGATAGGATCTTGTGAATATATACTTTCTTTTCCCATCTCAACTGAATAATGATCATCTAATATTTCGCATCCAGAGCTAATAATATCAGTTTGATGAAATTGCGGAATGGGTTCTAATATTCCTAATGTTTCGAGATATTCTCTCTCAGCTTCTGGGGATGGAATAGGCTCAACAATTTCTGGAGGATCAAATAATCCCAATGCATCGAGATATTCTGTTTCTGGATCAAGTTGCGGTAGTTGATTAGGAGATGGAACTGGTAAGTGGCATGAATTTTTATTACTAGCATAATTTTGACGAAGTTTTTATGGTGTTGAAAGAGGGAGACCACAGCAATCACACGTTGTATTTTTTTTATCTTTTCTAGTCATAGTATATAATTGATTTATAATATATTACTTATATAAAATCTTTTGTTTAAATAATTATTTCACTATATCCTAAAAGGTATTACGTGCTCTGGTACTATAGTAGATTACATGGTAGGGCTTCAAAATTAGATTCTAGCTATGGGGTTAGATTTTGTCCCAACTTTTTTCAATATATATTGAGGTTAGACTTTGTCCCAACTTTTTTTCGATATATATGTATATTGAGATTAGACTTTATATATAAAGTATATTGGAATAGAATCTGGGATATAAAATAATCAATTCTAGTTATGAGGTTAGAGCATGTCCCAACTTTTTTTTTGATATATATATAATGAGGTTAGAGCTTTGACCTAACTTTTTGATATAAGAAAAAAGCTTTTAGTGACGACAGAAAAGTAAAATGATATACAAATTGAGGTTAGACTTTGTCCCAACTTTTTTTTCGATATATATATATATATATATATATAATGAGGTTAGACTTTGTCCCAATTTTTTGATATTTTTTTGATATTCTTTATGATAAGAATAATTGATTTGGATGTTAAGAGAGATAGTAAAAATTAGTTATTCTAAAAGAACCGCAAAATAATTAAAAATCTTTTATTAGAGGTTAGACTTATTTATATCGATAAAAATTTTGATGTCTTTTTTATATAGCTATTTTATA